CAAAGCATACTATTTGCTTTTTCTTTCCTTCTGTTTTGTTTCTTCTTTCTTGTGGTTCCTCCTATTGGTTCTAATTCTTCTTTACAATATGACTAATGTGAAAATACATTTAATAGTAATATATATGTAGAGCCTATATCAGATTGCACATTGTCTTGGGGAGGGAGGTGAGGTGGGAGAGGGAGAAAATTTAAAACTCAAAAGCTTAATGGAAGTGATAGTTGAAAACTAAAAATTAATTAATTTTTTAAAAAACCCAACTCTTCCTCCTTACTCCCCCAGTTTTGTTGAGCACACCGCCATCTTTCCAATCATTCAATCTATAAACTTCAGAGTCATTTTTGACTCTTCTTTCTTCTTCAGGTACAGCTGGTTAGCAACATCTGTCACTTCTACTTTCCATTTCCTCCTTTCCACTCTGATGGATATCACTCTTATTCAGAGCCTCATCACCTTCCACCAGAACTACTGCCACAGCCTCCTGACTGGCAGCCCTGCCTCCAGTCTCTTCCCTCTCTAATTCATATTTTATACATTTTCCTTAATGCACAGTTCTGACTAAGTTATTCCCACACTCAAAAACTTTCAACAGTTGCCTTCTGCCGAGGCAAAATAAAATGCAAACATCTGAGCTTTGTATTCAAGGCCCCCACAATCTTTCTAAACGATCTTTCCAGCCTCATTTCATACAACTCCAACCAAAATGGACTCATCACAACTCCATGATACTGCTCCTTCTCTCCAGTTTCACTGTCTTTGTTCCCCAGGCCCGATATAGGTACAGGTACCATGTCCTCCACTAAACCTTCCCTGATTCCTCTCTCCTCCCCTAGATAGACGTAATCCCTCCCATTTTTCATAACCTCTTCTTTGCATTTGATTTTTTACAAACTATATTTTTATTGATAGCTTTTGCTGTTACATCTCGTTCATTTCCAAATATATCCTTTACTCTTCCCATCCCCTAGCAAGTTATCCCTTGTTACAAAGGTGAAAAAAGAAATCAAATCACTGCAAGGAGCAATTTTGACTCCAGAGAACTAATGAAGAATCCCACTTTCTCCCTTTCAGTGGGTAAGAGTGGATTATATCTTGGGTTAGGCGTGCATCGCCGGGCAAATGGTCTTAATACTTAACCATTTCTTTATTGGGCAGCTAGGTGGAACAGTGGATAGAATACCAGGCCTGGAGTCAGGAAAGTCTGAGTGCAAATCTGGCCTCAGATGTGTGACCTTGGGCAAGTCACTTCACCCTGTTTGCCTCAGTTTCCTCATCTGTAAAATGAGCAGGAGAAGGAAATGGCAAACCGCTCCAGTATCTTTGCCAAGAAAATTCCAAATGGGGTCATAGACAGCTGGACATGACTGAAAATGACTGAACAAATTTCTTAATTACAAGGGAGGTTTCTATTGAGGAAAACGTGGTTATTGGGAACTAACAGCAATGGGTTTTTTCCCAAGCGAATAGAAAAGGATCAGCTCAGCAACACCAGACATCACCTGCACTGCGTCTGACACCAACTAAAACTTTCATGCCCACTGCATTCCCCTCCCCATTCTGCCAGGAAGGGAAGGAGGCGGCTCACTGTCTTCATTGTGTGGGGCTGCGCTGGGCCAGTTTGGGTTTACTGTTCTGTTTACACAGTCGTCAGGTGCTCTCCTGCATCTGCTTCCTTCCCCCAGCGTTGGTTCCTCTGTCTTCCAATGCCTCTCATGTCTTATGCACTTACATGCTCTATCATCTGTGGTACAGCTATCTGTGTAGATGTCTCACTCCCCTACATGACCTGAGGATCCATGACAGCAAAGATGTCATCATTTTTCATCTTTGCATCACCCCAGAACCCTGGGAAGAGTAATCCCTCCAGACCACACATCCCATCATCCTGCTTCCAGCCAATCCCTAGATCTGTCATCCTGGGAAGCAGGGCCACCGGGTGATGAAGCCTGGCTACTGCCTAGGGAGTGGGGCTGGGGGGCAGCCACAACTGCTGAAGACCCAGAAAAGCACACTTTCTCCATCAAAAATCCTTTTCCACGTCACATGGTTATAGCTTATCAATGGAAATGCCATTAAAGAAGAGGCCTTCCTGTCTGCTTTGCCGCTGCACCTTTTCCATCTGACATGCAGCTGAAATTCTTCTGTTGGCCTCTCCAGCTCTTAAGCATGGTGCTTTGCACAAAGTAAGTGCTTCACAAATACTTTTTTCCTTCTTTCAGCACCAAGCACAGTGCCTAGCACATACAAGACACTTTTTTTTTTAATGAAAAAAGAAACTTCATTGTGGACTGGAGTGTTAGGAAAGGAAGAATTGGGGCCTGAACTCGGCTATGAAGATTTCTGACAGGTGGAGAAGAGTAGGGAGGGCATACCTATCTATGTACATCAACTTCACACCTCTGGGACTATGAGAGGTCAGGTTTTCAGAATCCTAAAGTCTAGTCTTTCAAAGATGCCAAAACTCCTTCAAATCACTTAACATTTATTAGCATGACTATCTGCCTAGCAGCACATCCTTGTGGCATCTCTAAAACACCTGCTCAAGATCTCTTTAATCCAGTGGCACCACTTGGAGCCTTTCCCTAAAAAGGAGGTCCCATTCCCTTGGTATACCTAGGTAATCCTCCCCATCCTAAGCTCTCATCTCCTTTACTAAAAGCACTCCTGAAATCTTGCCTCTTCCATACAGTCTTCCTTGGATTAATTAACTAGAGGAGATGTAATGAATTCCTATCATCCCAAACTGTCTGGCATAGAGACTCACCCTGGGATGCCCCCACCCTTAAACCCCTCCACCCACATCCATGCCCTGTGTGTGATACAAACACACCAGAGCTTCACTGTAATTTGACAATAGCACAGAACTCCATTTGACATGGAGCTGGGCACCATATCTGAGCATTTAATTACTTTGTTATAATACAATCTTACAGCAGAAACTGACTCTATATAGTAAAGTACTAGTAGAATCACTGCTGCCTATTCACCTATAAGTTCAAGGTTTCTACTTGAGATTGGGAGTTCTTAGGACACAGGACTTATTTTGGTTAAACACACTTAGACTAAACTCCCACTATTTTTAGGCCACTGTTATAAGCACTGTGGGAAGGACAAGATAGATTCTCTGCTCAGAGGAGCTTAGAATCTAATAGGAAAACAACCACACTTGAAAGATACCAAAGAACATATGGAGGCTAAATACCTGTGTGACCTGGGGATGAGACAAAACCTCTCTGGGTTTCAGCCTCTAGAGTCCCTTCCAACACCAAGATTCTAGGGCTAGGACAGACCAGGAAATCATGGAATCTTAGGGCTGGAAAGCACCTCCATCCACCACCTCACTCCCAAGTAGTCATCCAGCCTCCAACCGAAAACCTCACCACCTCCCTGAGGGCTGCCACTTTTGGACAGTTCCAAGAAGTTTCTCTTTATATCCAGCCTAAATCTGCTTCTCTGCAACTTTCACTAACTAGGCCCATGCAAAGAAAAAAAAAGAGGTATCTTAAATGCTAAATTTGAATTTGAACATCACAATTCTAATAATTCTGCCAAGTGGTAGGAACGTGGAGTATTGTCCTCACTTGACAGACGAGGAAACGGAAGCTCAGAAAGGTAAAGGCATGTCACCGTACTGCATGGATGTGGCTCATTATAGTTTTTCAAATGCTTTCTCATTTCATTCCCACGATCAGACCATAATTTAACAATAATTATCAATTTGACAGAGGAGGAAACAGACAAGGCTCTGAGTGGCTGAGTGATGTTGTGACCATGGCACCAAGAACCACAACATGACATAAGGTATGTGATTAGCTGAAGGTGGCTCACAGACATCTGCCCTGAAGGAGACACGATAAGTGTGTGTTTGGGGTGTGCGCTATGGCAGCTCTCCTCAAACATCTGACAGGCTGACACCTAAACAGAGCTCCAAGCCAGAGAGCAGAGCCAGGGCCACTGGTCAGTAGCACTTATGGTGGACGATTCTGACTAAGAAAAGTCTCGTAACAATTAGGCCTGCCCCCAAAGTGGGATGAGAACCCCTCATCACTGTAGTGAATAAACACAAACGGCAATACAAAAACATCGGGGGAAGCCTAGATGGCCACTCTAAAGAGGATTTCTGCTCAGGTATGGGTTAGACTAAGTTAGAGGACCACGGCTGCAGCGTCAGACGGGACCTCAGCAGTCACTGCGTCCATCCTTCCCACCCTACCTTCTGCCTTGACTTACAGATAAGGAAACTGAGACGCCAAGAGGTCACTGTTAAGAGAGCTGTGCTAAGTTCTAGACCTAGAATTTGGCTCTAGCTCTTCTCACATTGAGTGCCCTCCTCTGCCACCTGCCTACGTCACAAAGCTCATCAGTGGCAGGACTAGCACTAGAGCCCCAGGCAACCTCCAGCCCCAGGCTCCTGTGCCTCTAACCAAGCTCCCGCCCAGCAGCTCCCAGGCCAGTGCAGAGCTATCTCATACCCTGAATGCTGCTGCCACTGGGCGTCTGGGACGTCATAATAATTGCTGACATTTATAAAGTGTTTGTAAAGAATTTTACAATACACTATTTCATTTGAGCCTCAACCAGCTCGTGAGGTATTACAGGGAAGCAAAGGGAATAAGCATTTATTCCTACTACAGGCACCATGCTAAGCACTTTATGAATATTATTTCATTTGATCTTTCTCAAAACCCTGAGCAGTAGGTGTTATTATGGTCTCCATTTTATAGCTGAGGAAACTGAGGCAGACAGCAGTCAAGTGACTTGCCCAGGGTCATCCAGCTAGGAAGTGTTTGAGGCTAGATTTGAACTCAGGTCTCCCTAACTCTCCAATCTAGCCACTTCACTGCCTCTAAATATAGGTATTAATGACCCCATTTTACACCGGAGTAAACCTCAGTCCAGAGAAACGAAGTAACAGCTAATCAGTGGAGCTGTGGACCCCAGGCTCCTTCCCCCTCTGCCCCAGGGCGTGATCCACATTACTGCTGCCTCTCCCAGTACAAAGAGTAGGTAAAGCCTCAAAGTTCAGATGAGGTAACTTGGAAGAGGGCTGAAGAAGGCCCTTGGAGTCACCAATTTAAAACTAAAGATGACCTGGTTAACCCCCTAATTTTACAGACATGGGAACTGAGTCCCAGAGAGGTAACATCAAGAGACCTGATTGGAGGCCACATAGGGAATTAAAATAGCGGTTTCTGTCCCATTCTGTCTCAGCTACTTCCAAGAGGGTGGGCTCTGACAAGAACAGAGCTGTCCAATAAAGATCTACCCTCTTGAGGCTGAACTGGGACTGAAGCCTCCCACCTGCACATGATAACCTGGGGAGGCAGTCATGTCGTCTACTGCATTTCAGCACTGCTCAGTCTCACACTGTGCTTCCCAGAGACCCCGGCTCACCGACCTGGCTGGTCTCTTTATTTACAGCAGTCACAAGCAGCTACGTGATGAAGCCAAAACCCACGAGGGAAGGGGAGAGGGTATGGCACAGAGGAAAGAACACTGACCTAAGAACCTGGGGGCTTGGGTTTGAACTTTGGCTTTGCTACCAACTCACTGCAGAAACGTGGAGTCACTACTCCAGGCCTCAGTTTCCTCATCTGTTAAAGAGGGGACTGAACTAAAAGATGCTAAGGGGCGTCTATCTCTAACATTCCATATTCTGACATTCCTTTCAACTCCAACATTTATGGCTCTACGGGATGAGAGGCTGGACACAGTCCCCCAGACTCTGAGACCTAGTGATCCTGAGCTGCTTACCTTTATCTGCCTATGAATGAGGTCTCTAGTTATGTTGACTTTTGCCATCTTCTCAAAATGGGGTAGGAAAAGGGAGGCTCTAGAAGGATCTTCTGTACCCCCAAGCATTCCAGCCAAGCCCAGTACCAGGGGGCACACATGTAATTACCTGAAAAGAAAAAAATCATCATCAAATATTGACCAGGGGGAGAAGTGTGTGGATGTGGGTGTGTGGGGTACGTTCATGAGTGTGGGTGTCAGAATCCTTCTCTGTCCCTTAAACGGCACACTAGCTAATGACCCATTGTCTAAGTAGAGCCTTGCTCCTCACACATTGGATGAGTACCATTCCAGGTTTACTGAAGAACCTCAGGAATGGGGGTGGAAAGCAATGACTAATTAACTCTACTAGGAAAGGGAAGAAATGCTAAATGGGCTATGTGTATTTCATAAGAAATATAATTTACAGGGTTTTCCCAAAGTCTTAGTGCAGTTTTAAGCTATTAAAGTTGAATTTCTAACTCTAGTTCTAGTTTTGGGTTGGTTTTTTTAGGGGGATGGGGTGTGAGCAGTTTTCAGTTTCTAGTGCTTAGCATAATGCCTGGTACATAATAGATGCTTAACAACTTTTGGTCGATGGATAGTTCCAGTATTTGCCCCTTAGCTCATGTTTCCCAAGCTTCTCTACCCCCAGCCAAATCAGCACGACGGCTAGAACAGCCACCACCCCTTCCACTGCTAAATTCCTTAGGCTGGCTCTAAGACTCCAGAGGGCCACGTGACATGCTTCTGTGGCACTCCTCAGCATCGACAAGTGCGTGCCTAGAGAAAGGTTTTCCTGGCTCTTCTTCCTCAGAGGACAGGAGTATCCAAGATTCCCCCTCCCAATTATGGGCCACATAATCAGAAATCCATGTGTATATGTGAAGGCTACATGCATTTTTCACAATTAAATTACAGAGTTGACCCAAGATGGCCTATATAATGCCGGGGCCAGTCATGACCCAACCAGGGCCGTGAGCAGGTAGACAGGTCCTACTGGCCGACTAGTTCTTGTGGGCTAAGTGGACAGAGAGAGAGGGAGAGAGAGGTAGAGAAAGTGTGAGTGTGTGTGTGTAAAAATCTCAGCAGCATTTGGGCAGCAGGACCCCCGATGGATGCTTCAGCAATGAACCACAAACTTGGTATGAATTCTGTACCTACAATCTAGATTTATCTGAAGTCCTAGGCACAAAGGAAACATTTACCCTCTCCATGTGCCATGTAGTTCTCACTCAGTCCTACATTAAATGCCATGGTAAACCCATAAAAGGGCAGGGAGAGCCTTGCTGAATATTCAGACAGAACACGAGGTGCAGTCTGTGAGCCAATGAGATCTCTAAGGTGTAGGAGAAAGGGCACCAGGATGGGAGCCTGATCATTTTCATCTTCCTGCCGCTAGAAAAATGACCTTGAGTCAGTCTCTCTTCTTCCCACCGGGTCTCAGGAATTGGACTAGTTGCTCTCTCTTTTTTTTTTAATAGGCAATTGGGGTTAAGTGACTTGCCCAGGGTCACACAGCTAGTAAGTGTCATGTGTTTGGTCTGAGGCCGGATTTGAACTCAGGTCCTCCTGACTTCAGGGCTGGTGCTCTATCCACTGCGCCACCTAGCTGCCCCAACTGCTCTCTTAAGGTCCTTTCCCTAGTCTTAAGAGTCTATGATTCCATTCTCATGAATTAATTAACATGCACTTATTACGACTTCACCATGTGCCAGAAACTGTGCAATGATAAAAAAGCCACTAACATGTCTAGTGTCCCTCTCTCCTCCACCTGCAAACACAAACACGCAAGGAAGGAACAAAAAGCCTCTCAGATGCTCTAGGCCTTCCAACTTCCTAGGTTTGCAGTGGAAGTTTCAAATGAAAATGCTAACCCAAACCATTAGCAGAAGCCAGGTGCTGTCCAAGTGCATCTACTGTTTTGGCTTCTGAGGTCAAAGTCAAAAGCAAAAAGTCTGTACCATCACCCAAATCAATGGAGAGATTTTCAACCCCTGTTTCAGGAGCAAGGCAACTGTGGAGTTTTCTGGAGCAATAGTTGCAGAGGTATCGCTCTAACAAGCTACGGAGGACCTCTAAGCTGTGGAAGAAGCAGGAGAAATCTGTCCTCAAGGAGTTTACATACTAATGGAGGAGACAACATGCAAATAACTATGTAAGATACATGCTACATAAATAGAAGGTAATCTAAGGAAGGCCCTATCAGCAACAAAGACTAGGAAAGGCCTGCTCTCCTGGTGGAAGGTGGGATTTGAGTTGAGGCTTAAAGAAAGCCAAGGAAGCTGTGAGGCAGAGGTGAGGAGAGAGTGTACTTCAGGCATAGGGGGCAGCCAGTGCAAAGATATGGAATCAGGAGATGGGGCATCATGTGCTGGGACTGACAAGGAGGCCAGGGTAGCTGGATCATAGCGTACATGGAGAAGAATCAAATTCAAGGAGAATGGAAAGGTAGGAAGGGGTCTGGCTGTGAAGAACTTTAAATGCAAAACAGAGGATTTTTTATTTAATCCTTAAAATAATATGGAGCCACTGGAGTTCTTGTGCTTTACGAAAATCTCTCTGGCAGCCAAGTGGAGGACGGACTGGAACAGGGAGAAACTTGAAGCAGAGAGACTAATGCCTCAACGAGAGTGGTGGCTACATGCTTAGAAAGGAGAAAGAGGAGAGATGTCGTGAAGTCAGATACAATAGGACCTGGCTACACACACATGGTCAGCTAAGGCAGGCGGCCACAGAGCAAAGCCTCCGCCTTCCCACCTATTTTTCCTTACTTGGTTTATGATCCTAAGTGAAGCTGCCATTCCCAGCAGGCCCTTCCATTTCCTGCCTTTTCCTACACCATTCTCTATGCCTTGAATGGAGTTTCCCAAACTCCATGATATCTCCTGTTGTCTTCCTGAACCTGTTTCAAAACCCAACTCAACTGAGATGCTACTTTTTCCATGAAACCTTCAGTGGCAATTGTCAGAAATTATCTTTGTTCCTGGTTCTCATATAGAACTCTGTACTTCTCTCAAACTACATGAAGTCTATTTTGTATTATTTATATGTGAAGCATTTTCCCTTTTATATGTTTCACAAGCAAAGAATCATATCTCATTCAATGAATCTTTCAACTCCCCTCACTCACAGCCACCCCACCCCCAGCAATAAGGCCCAATTCATAGTAGATGCTTCATAAATGCTTGTTTATAGACTCATATAATGATATACTGAAGACAAAGATCAGCTTAAAAGATCATCTGGTCTAATCTCCGTTTCAGAAATAAGCTGAGGCCCAGAAAGGGTAAGTGACTTTCCCAAGGTCACCATATCAGTAATGGCAGAGTGTTTGAGTTCAATCTCAGAGAAGCCTTTGAGTCCTGAAGTTCTGCAAACAATCTAGACACATTTCTATCCAAAGACTATATAACAATAGCTCACATTTAATCTTTCTTTAAGGAGTTCATACTGGGGAGGGAAAATATCAAATCTACCAAGCAACAGTTTCTTCTAAGTTTCTCAAACTAAGGTATTACAGATCAATAAATAAACAGTTAAGTCAACTCATTAATTATTAAAGATTAATGCCTGCTTTCACATACACAAAGCACTTTCTACGAGAAGGCTCTGAGCAGCTATTCGCCTAACGTGTTCGCTTATAAACCTCAAATAAATGGATTTACACTAGAGAAATTTGAGACAGGCTACAATTACTTGAAAGTAAATGTAATTAACACACTTAAATATGTGACCAACGGCCAACTTTTCTCTCAGCAGTGATAGACAAGTACAATGTAAAACCACCTGCCTGGACACAAGGTTGATCCTTTGATCACTAAGGATCTGTGACTTCTTAGAAAATATTCTCCTTATTCTCTTGGCCTAAAGTCATCTTCCTTCTATAGTCCTCAGTTTCTCCATCAGCAAAATGAAGGAGGTGGCCTACATGATCACCAAGTTTCTTTCTACCACTGAGATTTTGTAATCTAGTCACATACAGTGGCACATAACTACTAAGATAATTGACCCTTACGTGCTAGGAATCAAATTCCACCAAGGAGTTCTGGGCAAGCTACAGGGGAGGTATAGCTGGACAACTAAGGAAAAGATGAGGGGGTTGTGGTGGACTGCAAGCTTACCATTTTTAGGCTATATTTATAAGCACTGTGTCCAAGGTAAAACAGAAAATAGCCCTTTCACCCTGGTAGACCATATCTGGAGTACAGTGTTCTGGAGGTCACATTTTGGGAAGGACTTTAACAAAATGGGGGTGTTCTGGACAGGGTAACCAGGAGGTGAGAAGCCTACAAATCATGCCATAGGAACATTGGTTGAAGAAACTGGTTATGTTTAGCTTAGGTAAGAGGATATGCAAGGGTGATATGAGAATTGTCTTACAAAGTATTCTGGATGGCTGTCATTTGGGAAAAAAATCGATTTGTACTGCTTGGCTCCAGGTAGCAAAAGCAGAAACAATGGGAAGACGCTGGTAGATTTGGGTTTGACATAAGGAAGAACTTTCCAAAAATGGAACATAGGGCTGAGGCCAGATAACAACCGGGAGGGGAGGAGTTATTTTAGAGATGATTCTTGTTCAGGTACAGGTTAAACTAAATGACTTGGAAGGTCCCTTCCACTTTTGAGACTGTGTCATTTTACATGAGACTGTCTTATCTGCAAAGGATCTATAGAGTTTTCATGTCACCTTCAAGGTTATCAATCCATCTCAGTCAATGATAAGTTAGGCAAGTTTTTCCCTTTGTGATTATTTAATTTTTAAGTTGCTTTCTTCTTTGTAAGAATTTTTCCATGAGGTTCTCAGCATTTTTATTTTGAATTATCAATGGAGTTTCTCCATCCTCCCCTCTTCTTTCTTTCCTTAATTACCTTGAGGTAAGAGGAGGTGATAGAGAGAAATGGCTATTTATTTAATAACTTTATCTTTTCTCACCACATTTAAGCCTGCCTGCTCTTGGATCTTGCCTCATATTGTGGCCGGATTTGGAATGGTCCTGGTTAAGGTGCCACTCACAGAAGCTTTTGAAACAAGTGACTGGGAAGTTCTAGAGTTGAAATTCCATCTTCTAAACACAGTCATGATGGCAGAGGGACTTGGGAAAATCAAGGGGACCAGACAGAAACGTCCTCTTTTATACTCGGGTTGGTTTCAAATGTAGGCCTGCCATAGCAAGAGAGAACCACTGGCGCCTAAATAGCTCAGCATCAACCAGAAAAGCAGTTCAATGATTAGCCTGCATTTTCTCTGTGCTACAAGCAACAATTCCCTGTCAGCCTGGTAGAAAGCTAGATTTAATGGGGGCAGCTAGGTGGTGCAGTGGATAGAGCACCAGCCCTGCAGTCAGGAAGACCCGAGTTCAAGACCTCAGACACATAACTACGCACTAGCTGTATGACCCTGGGCAAGTCACTTAACCCCCATGCCTAGCCCCGCAAAAAAAAACTTTAGAGAGAAAGCTGGATTTAAGTGGAATCAGAAGATGAAAGACAGAACAGCCAAAGAAGACAAAAACCTCCGCCAAGTCCTGATCCAGCTCATTCCTACCCTCAGGCTCCCTCTCCCACTCCTCATGGAGAGTGGGACTAATACATCTCCCACCATGGTTCACTGTTGTTCTTCCTGGCACCAGCACTCTCATGTCAGGGCTCCAGAAGAGGTGCTCTCAGGCCTGGGACAACAAGAAGCTGCCCCTCATCTATGGGGAGCCCTTCTAATTCAAACTCTCAGGTACTTTTTCTTAAGTTTCAGAGGTATTGCCCAAAATAGAATTCATACCTCAGATTATCTGACTTCCCTTTCAAAGAAAACTGGACCAATCTGTTAAATTCTGCTCTTACCAGGAGGGAACCCATTGCAACTGCCCTTCCAAGACAGTCGTGAGATAAGGATTTCCTTTGCATAGGTCCTCCTACACACGTGGGACACTCCCACGTACTTGACATGTTCTAGGGCTATATTCAGCCCTAAAGTTTTTAAGCTATTAGTCACTAATGCCACAAAGCCCAATGTAGAGTTTACAGCTATTACTAACAGCACAAAATGGGCTCTGAAACTCCAGAACACAGGATAAATCAGGAGTGGTCCCCTCCTCTCTGCACCTCCGCCCCCAGCCATAAAGTGAATAGAGTACTCTTTTCTCCCCAAGCCTGCCTGCCTGCCTTAAAGAGGCCTCCATTTTCTACCTAGCAACCCTCAAGGCATCCTTAAATATCCACAGCTCAGCCAAAGGTAGCAAATCTCCTGTTAACAGTTTTAAAATTCAGCAGCTGGATATCTTGTAGCAGTAACCCCTGAGACTCTAGACTAGACAGAGAAGAAGGTGGCAACAGTTAAGAACATAGTCTAATCAGGAGTTCTCAAGTGATCAAAAGCAACAGCCTAAAGAAGCAGAGGTGATTGGAGAAAGCAGAGAATGAAAGCGAGAAGAATGGGGTCAAACCATTCAAGTGCTCAACATGAGAGCAAAGTCAGATGTTGAGACTCTTCCTACCTGGGCCCCACTGATGATGCATGAGGTTCCTGTTCTCCAACGTTCTATTCAACAACAGAGTCACTCTTAAGTTTAGAAAGAAGAAAAGGAAAAACAAGGTTTAGAGCTTAAACACCAATCCTTTGCTTTGGACTTGCTTCTGCAGATGAGTACCCAAAGTACTAAGGACCCTCAACAGCCCAGAGGGACTCAAGCATGACTCCCAGATACCTCTGTATGAAACAGCCCTACACAAAAGCAATCTGACTTTTACTGAAGCCCTGCTAAGAGTTTCCTCTAGTAATAAACAGGTGTCCTCTGACAGGTTTAGGAGCAAGGTTAGAAAAGCAGGGGTGCTAAAAGTCATCATAACCAACACAATAATAAGATTATCACTAACTAGAGCTTTTGTTGAAAAATGCTTTCACCAAAACATCCATAGGAAGTAGGTAAGTACCTACTCCCTAATTTTATAGATGAGGAAACTGAGGCTGGGAAAGGCTAAATGATTCACCCATGATCACCAAGCGCCATAAGGGCTTGAGGCAGAATTTGAATCCAAGATTCCTGACTCCAAGTCCACCGTGCTGCTGATATACACAATATGCTCTGTTATTCTGGATTACCCCAAACCAGGTCTATGCTATTAGATCACAGGATGGCAGCAAGGGAAGGTAAAAACGTGGTAATTTACTTATTCAAATTTCTATAGGTTCAGCTCTGTATAATGCTTCAAGATGAACTCAGGTTAACGTTACTGCCCCTAGACAAGTCAAAAGAAATTGCTTATGCTGAAAGAACCGCAGAATCAAAATGTTCAGCACCAAAAAGCGTGACTTTTTCCTCACAAATCTTCTACAGTGTTTAACATTAAGAAAGGTCCAACAAGAATCAGTTAATCCATGGCAAATTAAAGAGAGTTTAGCTATTAAATCTAAAAACTATAGGTCTAATCTGAACTCTTTCAAACATGAGAGGCAGCCTGTTGTCATGGAACTAGCAACTGGATCAGGAATCAGGAGTCCTGGGATCTAATCTTGACTTTCCTAACTCACTCCCCCCACCTTGAATTTCACTCCTCTGTAAAACTAATGAGTTGGAACTAGATGATCTCCAAAAGTCCTGATGGGTTCTAACAGTGTGATTTTTAAGAATCACAGATAATGAGATAACAAAGTTGGATCTGATGTAGTCACAAAGATTCCTTCCCTATCATCTTAATGACTTACTGGAATAGCCAGCTGAGAGAGGTAACAAAAGAGGAAAGAAAGGTGTGACTTGGTTAGGGTTACTGGGTTCTACCTGTTTAAATGTCCAGATCCCCAGGAGATTTTCATAATGGTTTTACGGATCAAGGTGGGGATCAGTGATCAATGTTTTCGTTTACTCTAGATTTCAGGCCTTGTATACATGGGAGATGAATCTATCTCTCCATTTCCAACCTGTTGGACTATGCCACCTGGTGCAGACATTCACCACTCCCAATAGGCAAGAGCATTTCAAAGTCCTAACACTGAGAAGGTTTTTTGTTTTTTTTTTAAACAAAGTTGAATATCATCCCAATCATTGCACAGTAGGTCAAAAACACAAAGATATTCTAGAGAAAACATGAGAGTTCCCCAAATCAAACCCTAAGCCTCTCATGCAGAGGTTCTTATAAGTTGCTAGAAGACAAGTGCAGTTTTGATTAGTGAAGTTGCAAACTAGACCAAGGGCCAAACCAGCAATGTCCAAGTACATTCACAGAAATGGGCAAGAGGGTCCCATCAGACTGCTTCAGTAAAAAGAACTGGAATTGGCTGATTCCCTCTGTGAAGTAACCATCCCTCATGCTGTTTTAACTGATGGCTGAATAACGTATTCACACATAAAAGGTGACTTTGTCAGTGGCCAGCATCGGCTGGGGCCATACCTGGACAGAATTTAGTTCAGGGTCACAGGAGTACAACTAAGGGGAACTTCTGTTGAACTTGAGCACACACACACACACACACACACACACAGGAAACAGAAGGGGTCAGGTCAGTGTGGCAGCCCTCCCAGCATTTCCACCTGCCCCCTCTTCCTGAGCTCTGCGCCAGATCAGATGTCAAACAAAAACTCTGCCCAAAGTCTCGTGATTGTGGGACTTCCACCACTCTTTCAGCTCTGTCTCCTTCTCCAGTCTCCCAAAGGGAGTCTCCAAAACTCCATGGCCATAGGTCCCCCAAATTTCCAGGTCCTTTGTAGGTTTGTGTTCAGCTAACCCAGGGAAAAAGTAATTTTAAAAAAATTGCCCTGTCAACCTTCTCAGGTCAATAAACTTTTATTAGGTGCCTAGCATGGGTAAGGCCTGTCTCCTTTCAAAACTTCCCTTCTTGGAGCCAGTGTCCTACCTAGCCCTCCCTACATACCTCCTCAGTTCTAGCATACCCTTTTCCACACACAAAGTTCATTTCTTCCTTTCCCCAAATTCCCCCTTCTTTCCCACGGTTCCCATCTGGGTCCCAGTGACCCCTCCCCTCTCCCAAAGTCCTTTCTCTGGGTCCTCTCCCAAGTTCCCACTCTGCGTCCCGAGGATCCCTCACTTCTCCCAAAGTCCTCCCTCTTTTTGCCAGAGTCCCTCTGCTCCCCCGAAGTCTCCCCTCCACTCTCCAAAGTCTCCCCTTCTAGTTGCTAAGGTCCTCCCTTCTCCCTCAAAGTTCTCCCTCTGGTTATCAGGTTCTCTCTCTGTTCCCCCAAAGTCCCCCCCTGGTTGCCAGGGTTCCCTCTGTTCCCCCTGAAGTCTCCCCTCTACTCCCTAAAGTCTCCCCTTCTTGTTGCCACGGTCCCCCTCAGATCCCCCCAAGTTCTCCCTCTGGTTATGAGGCTCTCTCTCTGCTCCCCAAAAGTCCCCCCCTCTGGTTGCCAGGGTTCCCTCTGCTGCCCCAAAGTCCCCCTCCAGATGCCAGGGTCCCCCTCTGCTCCCCCTAAGTCTCCCCTCTACTCTTCCCTTCCAGTTGCTAAGGTCCCCCTCGGCTCCCCCAAAGTTCCCCCTCTGGTTACCAGGTTCTCTCTCCGCTCCCCCGAGTCCCCCCGCCCTCGCCCTCAGCTCGGACTCCGGGGGTGTCCGGTGGTGGAGGGGGGGCGTTTCCTCTCCCCAGCCTCGCCCCCAGGCCTCCGTCCAGCCCGGGCCGGGGCCGGGGGAGCGGCCCGGGCTTACCTGTCAGGCCTCGTCCCGGAGCAGAGCAGCGAGCGGCCGGTGCAACTTCAGGAGCCCATGTCGGCGCGGCGGGGGGCAGCGACCGGGCCGGCCCCGTCCGGCGGCAGCGGGCAGCCCGTCGTCCCGTCAGTCCGTCCGCCCGTCGCTCGCTCGCTCGGCCGGTCCGCCGCGTTAAGCCCTTCCCATGCTCCCTGCGGCCAGCCCGGCTGGGGCTGCGGGCCCCCGGCCCAGCACCCACTCCCACCGTCCGTCTCCCTCACACACACACGCGCGCACACACACGCGAGCCCGCCCGCCCTCACCCCCTCACACACACGCACACACACGCACTCCCCTCCCTCTCCTCGTCTCCTTCTCTTCCCTTCCCTCCTCCTCTGTTTATCTCCGCCAGCTGTCTGGGGACCCGGGCGAAGCCGCGCAGCGCGCCTGCGCCACGCCGTCTGCGCCCCCGCCCTGCGCTTCCCCACCGGCGCCTACGCTACGCCGACAGCGGGCGGCCGCTTGCAGAATGGCGGAAGCCCCCCGCCCCGGTCAACGTCTGCCGTGGGCGCCCACTAACCTGCTAGTGGGAGGGAGCGACCCTCTCCAGGCCGTGGCCAATGGGCTTCGGCGCCCGCTGAGTGGTATGGGCGGAGGGGAGGGGGAAGCGGGATGCGCCCGAAGGGCATGCCGGGACTCGTAGTTTTTCCACTTCCCCGGGGCTCTCGGGACTCTCGCCACCTCCGTTTGCGTTAGCGACACCTAGGGGTCTGCCCGTGCCCCTGCCGCCGCCACCCAGAAAGGTCCCAGCGCGTCCCGTCCGCCGCCGCGGATCGGGAACCTTCTAACTTGTTTGGTTTAGCGCAGCCAGCATTTCTTAAGCCCCTGCGGTGCGTTGAGCTCTGCGCTACGGACTGGGAGAGATACAAAGTTTCGAGAAGAGCTATTCAGCAAGCACGCACCCATCTATCCCGAGTGTTTTCCGAGTACCCGCAGTGATCTGTTCTTATTTGCATTTGCAGCCGTCTGTCTCTTTCACTGGCCCCACGCAACCCTAGGGTTCCGGGCCGCCGTGGCTGCAGGAAAACTGTTTTCAAGGAGTTAGTCAACTAGCATTTATTAAACGCCACTATGTGTCACTGTGCTAAGCGCTGGGGATAAAGGTAAAAGACAGTCCCTGCTGTTGAATTCACAGTCTAGTGGGGGAACACAACATGCTAAAAACTAGGCACAGACAAGCTAGATACGGGACAAATTGGAGATAGCAACAGAGGGAAGGCACTAGAATCAAAGGGGTCGGCAAAGGCTTCCCTCAGAAGGTGGAATTTTAGCTGGGAAGCTTGAGAAGTTAGGAGGCGGAGGTGAGGAGAGAAAGTTACTAGCATGGAGGACAATCGGTGAAAATGCCTGGAGTCGGAAGGTGGAGTGTCTTGTTCAAGAAAGAGCAAGGAGGTCAGTGTCCCAGGATTGCAGACTACATGGGATTAGGGTGTAAGAACAAAGCAGACTGCAAAGGTAGGGAGGGACCAGGTTATGGAAGACTTTAAAAGCCTGAGGATGTTTGTCCTGTTTGGCCCTAGAGGGCAAGAATTAGGAGCAATGAGTGGAAATTGTATGGACTACAACAATAATTAGAGGAATCCCAAAGCGGAATGGACTGCCTAGGGAAGGTGTTTCCCCCTCCAGGAGGGTCTCAAAGCAAGGGCCGAATGGGATCATCTTTCAGGAATGGGTGGCATTAAAAGCCGTCTGAAGCCCCTTCCAACAGTGAGAATCTGTGATTCTCTTCCTGCTTTTTAGGTGGCTGCTGAGATAACATTTTCCTCACCCTGTGTTATTGTTCTTGTTTGTCCTTAGTTCTGGAAGAGGACCACGACATCAGGGAGGTGTTGCCATGATGTGCAAGTGAATTGGACTTAAGTGAGGGAGAACTGTGCAAAGACACAAGCCTCACTTTCTCCTCCGGAGCCATCTAGGTCCAGTGGAGAAATATAGATCAGGAAGACTGGGGATGGCCCTGGATGCAGTGGGAGACCTTGGCCTTTTTTTCCTCACCCTTTACAAGGAGAGTGAAAAGAGAAGGAAAATAATAAAAAAAGGATGGACTCCAATTTAAAGGAATTCCTCCCCATCCCCTCCACTATCCTATAAATTTAGCTAGAATTGAATCCGACTCTGCTCCTTACAACTTAGGTGGCTTTGGGCAAGTCACTTAATATATCAATTTCTTCACTATTAAAAAAACAAAAAGGGGGGAGGAGTTGGATTAGATAATTTCTTTTTTTATTTTTAGGCAATGGGGGTTAAGTGACTTACTCAGGGTCACACAGCTAGTAAGTGTCAAATGTTTGACTTGAGGCCAGATTTGAACAAAGGTCCTCCTGATTTCAGGGCCAGTGCACTATACACTGCACCACCTAACTGCCCCTGGATTAGATAATTTCTAAAGGCCCCTTCCATCCCTAAATCCTAGAATGATGATGATAATGATAGCTAATATTTATATCATCCATTAAAGTTTGGAAAATGTACATCCATAATCTCATTTGAGCTATGAGCCAGTCCTGTAGTGGGTGATGGGGAAGGGCATTCTTCCTTTTGTAACTTAATTACCAACCTGTTACTTCCACAAGTTACTTAAAATTTTCTGGGTTCTGGTTTCCTCATTCTGATAGAATGTAAGCAGCTTGAGAGCAGGGATTGTCAAAGTTTTGGTTTTTTTGGGGGGGGGGTTGTTTTGGTTTTTTTTGTATCCCTGGCACCTGTAATAGAACAGGAATAAACAAATGCCTGTGATTGGTTGATCATGAAATAAGGAAATGGACTAGATGACTTTTAAAATCCCTTTCAGTTACTTAAACTGTGATCCTATAAGACTGCCCCCTGAGGGAGACTCAAGTCTGTTGGGAAGACATGTCCCTTGAATTTGGGGAAAACTCAGTCCAAGTCCTTGATATAGGCAATATTTCTTCAATGAGTCAGTCAATAAACATTTGTTGTTGTTTTCATTCAGTTGTGTCTGACTCTCCATGACCTTGTGGACCATAGCACCCCATGCCCTTCTGTCCTCCGATATCTCTTGACGTCTGTCCAAGCTCATATTCATTATTTCCATAACACCTATCCATCTTGTCCCCTGCTGTCCCCTTCTACTTTTGCCTTTAATCTTCCCTATCAGGATCTTTTCCAGTGAGTCCTGTCTTCTCATTATGTGGCCAAAGTATTTATGCTTCAGTATTTGTCCTTCCAAAGAATATCCTGAATTAATTTCTTCAAACATTGACTGATTTGATCTCCTTGCTGTCCAAGGGACTCTCAAAAATCTTCTCCAGCACCACAATTCGAAAGCATTGATTCTGCAGCACTCAGCTTTCCTTATAGTCCAATTCTCATAGCCATACATTGCTACTGGGAAAACCATAGCTTTGACTACATTTATTAAGCACTTATTATATGCTGGACACTGTGCTGAGTGCTATGGATACAAATATGAAAAAGAAAGACAGTCGCTGCCCTCAAGGAGCTTACAATCTAACAGGAGAAGACAGCACACAGAAAAAAGCTGAATAAAGGGGGAGAGGTACTCAGCACAGGGAGCATTGGAAAGTCAAAGAAGTCCAAAATGAGTGCAGCCAGGTGGGAAATGAGGAGATGTCTGTCCTGTCCCTTCTTAATGAAGGAGTTTATGGTTCCATCCTCCAGAGGAGCAGAGGGTATTCATGAACAGAAGAGGATTAAGCATTTATACCTACTATGTTCCAGGCACTATAAGAGGTGCTTTTTATAAATATTATCTCACAACAACAGTCATTATTATCCCTATTTTACAGTTGAGGAAACTGAGGCAGACAGAGGTTAAATAACTTGTCCAGGATAACAGGCCTTATTTGAAAGCAGGTCTTCCTGACTCCAGGCCTAGTGTTCGATCCACTGTGCTATCAGCTGCCTCAGTGATGAGATTTGAGTAACAAGGCTGATCAGATGAGATTTCTCAATGATGGATTTACTAGGGTCTTGGTGGAGAAGGGAAAGCAGCCCAAACTGAGTGCAGCTAAGTGAGAAATTATTCAATGGTTCTAAAAAGAAAGACTCCATATGTATCAAAATACTTTTGTAGCACTCGTTGTAGTAGCAAAGAATTGGAAACAAAGTAGGTATGCTGAGGTTGTGGAATGGCTTAACAAGTCGTGGTGAGTGAATGTAATGGGATATTACTGTGCTTTAAGAAACATGAATAGGATAAATACAGAGGAGCTTAGAAAGACATATAACTTGATAGAAAGTGAGGTAAGCAGACTAAGAAAACAACATGACTAAGTAGAAAGAACAGCAAGGAAACAATTGAAACTGAATGCTGTGAAATTATAATTCCTACGATAATATCACTAAGATCAATTACCTCCCATTGACCCTGTATATATCTTATATGTACAGAATTTTTACACGTTGTCTGCCTTGTTAGACTATCCCTTAGGGCAGGGACTATGTTTGTTTGGGGTTTTTTGGTTTTTTGGTTTTTGGAGGTTTTGGGGGGGCTAGGCAATGGGGTTAAGTGACTTGCTCAGGGTCACACAGCTAGTAAGTGTCAAGTGTCTGAGATGGGATTTGAACTCAGGACTTCCTATCCACTGTGTCACCTGTCTGCCCCGGGGACCATGTTTCCTTCTTTACATCTTCAATTGAGAAGGAAATGGCAAACCACTCTAGTATCTTTCCCAAGAAAACCCTAAACAGGGTCACAAAGAATAGGACATGAGTGAAATGACTCAATGACAAGACAACATCTTCCACACTGAACACTGTCCCTGGCACATAGCAGGTACTTAATAAAAGGTGGTTGATTCATTGATTGACTAATTGTTACTGTCTAGGTAGCAGGGATACAAATGGTCTACTCAGAAACCTGGGATTTACATCCTTTTATGAAGCTGTCATGAACTGCTGTTTGTTTCTCTTACTATAAAGAATCAATTTATATCTTTTTTCTCCTGAGGATAATGGGATTATGCATTGATGAAGAGAATAGGGGCAGTTAGGTGGTTCAGTGGAAAGAATACCAGGCCTGAAGTCAGGAAAACCTGAGTTCAAATCTGGCCTTAGACACTTACTAGCTGTGTAACCCTG